GGCCTTAGCCCCAGCCCCGCCGGTGTCCCGGCGCGGGGGGCTGGGTCCGCCTGTGCCAGCCCCCGGGGAGGGCCCGGCCTAGGGCGGCCGTCGGTTCCCGGTGACTCTCTTCTTCCTCCCTCCCTCCCTCCCCAGCGCGGCGGCACAAGGACGCGGAGGGACCTGCACCGGCTGCCCTCGGCCACCAGGACCGACCCCGCCGCCCCCATGGCGTCCCGCAAAGCCTCCGCCGCCGGGCAGGGCAACGGGCTGGCCGCCGCCAGCCGGGAGAGGGCCCACCTGGAGCTGGCCGAGCTGGGGCCGCTCCTGGAGGAGAAGGGGGACCAAGGAGCCGCCGGCTCGGCCAGTGTAAGACCTTCATCCGCACCCCCCCCCCCCCGAGCGGGCAAGGTGGCGAGCGGGCCCCCGGCCGGGGTGGCTGCCGCAGCTGGCTCTGCTCCTCCGTGCTCAGCCTCTCTGCTCCGTCCTTGCGGATTAACCTAGGAATTTGCCCGTTATCCCATTAGTGGCTTGAAGGATGGAGGCCAGCTGGGTGCGTTTTGCAGAGTCCCAAGTCTAGTCGTCGCTTTGTGTCAGCGCAGAGGCTGTGAGATGTTTCGTTACCCGAACGCTGACGGTCTGGCTGGTCCGTGCCCTGAGCTGGCCCAGAAACTTCTGTCGTGCAGGCGTGGATCTGTGATAGCCCTCGTGCAGAGACGTCAGCCGAGATGCATTATGTCTGCATGCCAGTGCTGTTGCTTGGAGGGAACGGGGTGTTCTCAATCACCTAGCTGTTCCGTGGCCCTTGGGGCTGGAAACCACCTTCCCAAACCTGCTAATGGAAAAGGAGAAGAGAGGGAGTTGAGCCGGGACGGGCAGAGTGTTCCCAGCCCAGGAGGGTGCTGGGTCAGCACTGCCTCCGCTCTGTATTGGGCTGCTAGTAGGGGTGGAGGGCCAGGTTTCCTGGCTGGGCCAAGTGGCTGTTCCAGCCTTGGTTGTAGGAGTGAAAACCCCCCCACGGTAATCCCACCATTCAACAAGAATAAATCTGGGATTAGCCTGCCTGAGATGGTTAAGACAGTAGCATGTTGCATAAGCGGTGGTGACCGGCAGGTGCTGCCTGTCCCCTTGGGAAGGGATGATGCCCCAGGTGCTCTCAGAAGGGACTCGCCACTCTCCGCACGCTGTTCCTCCCGTAGGCAGGGATGATTTCCTCCCTGCATTTCTGCCTCTAGGCTGAAGACCCACCATGCCCAGCGGCCCGTGAGGAAGAGGAGGAGGTGGTCCGCGTGCTGACTCTGCCTCTGCAGGCTCATCATGCCATGGAGAAGATGGAAGAGTTTGTGTATAAGGTACAGGAGCATGTGGCGATCCCCCAATCCTGATTTTGGAGAATGAGTGAAGCCCAGATGCCCCAAGCCCAGGGCGTGGGGTGGGGGGCAGGGGCTGGGATGCGTCGCTCTTTTCTGGGTAAAGCTCCCCGGGCTCCGTGCGGCTCTGCCGGCAGTCTGCTCTGGCTCTGCTCCCAGCAGCGTCTCCCAGGAGCGGAGCAGGAAGGGGATGGCAGTGGATCGGAAGTGCTGGTGGGGGGTGGTGGTTGTGCCCAGCCATGCCGGATGAGCAGCGACCTAGGGAGCAGCCCCAGTGTCTCTGCAGTCCTCTAACAGGGACTGGGAGCACCAAGCACTGTTGCTGGTTTCACCCAGTGCGTGCACTCATGGTCACCGCAGTTTGGTAACGGTCAACGGGGGGCTGAGGGCCAGCCCGGTTCTGTTGCCAGCCAGGGCTCTCTCTTCCCTGACCAAAATGGGAGCTCCCCACTGCAGAGAACAGCTGCTTCAGGTGTGGAAGGGTTAAACCTGAGGGTGCGAATCCCCTCTGACTCACTGAGTGTGGGGAGCGCTCCGCAGGATGTGCGTGGTTTAAGGGGTCCTACAGGGTGCTGATGTTGCCAGCGCTGAACTTCCTTTCCCCAAAGAGCCTTACAGTGCCTTTTCAGCTCTGGCTGGGCTTGTTCCGAGTGTAATTTTAGGCTCCCGGGGTGAGCAAACCTGAACCTTTGGGCTCGCTCGACGCTCTGGGGGCCACCAGCACAGCTTGGTGTGTTGCAGGTGTGGGAAGGGCGCTGGCGCGTGATTCCTTACGATGTGCTGCCTGACTGGCTGAAGGACAACGATTACCTCCTGCACGGCCACAGGCCTCCCATGCCGTCCTTTCGAGCCTGCTTCAAGAGCATCTTCCGAATACACACTGAGACGGGCAACATCTGGACACACTTGCTAGGTGACTGGGGGGGGGTTGGTAGCCCTCGGGCTGAAGGCGGGCTTGGCCCCCATGCACAGGGCAGCCTTTTACAGCCAGGACTTGCTCAGTCCTGGGGTCCTCTCCATGCCCAGGACCCCCCTGTGAGGATTGCATAACCCTGCCTGGTCCTGTGCATGCAGGCAGCTCTGTCACAAGGTGCCCAAGAGCTCCCGGAGCTCCTTGGGTGAGGGGAGACCAGGCCCCAGCGGGGCCCCAGTGCTGGGCTCGGCGACCGTTTGTGGCTTTGCCGACGCTCTGCAAGAGTGGGATGGAGAAATGTGTCCTGGGCAAAACAGGAAAGCCTCAGAGCGCTTTCCTCTGAAACCCAGGGATGGTCAGTGGCTCTTCACCCTGCGCCCGACCATTCCCTTGTCCCTAGCTCTGCTCATCTGCAGTAACAGCCTCAGCTAACAGCCCGCTTCCAGGCCAGCCCCAGGTGCGACTGAGCACCTCCGGGTGTGCTGTGAGCAGGATATGTCCAGGGCCTGCCTTGCAGAGCACAGTCAGGGCTGTGTTGCTCCTGGGTCTTTGCTGAATTCGTTCACTTTCCTTCAGCCTGACTGCCCGTTTGGTGTGTTCCCTGTAGGTTTTGTTTTGTTCCTCTGCCTGGGGATCCTGACCATGCTGCGGCCCAACATGTATTTCATGGCTCCTCTGCAGGAGAAGGTGGTATTCGGCATGTTCTTCCTGGGAGCAGTGCTGTGCCTCAGCTTCTCCTGGCTTTTCCACACTGTCTACTGTCACTCAGAGAAGGTCTCGCGGACTTTTTCGAAGTGAGTCAGCACAAGCGGGGTTGTGTGGTCTCATAGGAGGTTTTGAGTTCTCACAGCGCTTCCTCTTGGAAAGTGCCGCATTCCCAAATGTTTTATCCCTGGGGGAAGGGAGCATTCACTGAATCCAGTGTGGAGCTGAGAGGGAACCACAGCTGGGTCCTGGAGGGCTCTGCCCTGTGCCTGAGAATCTTAAATCTGCCAGCTCAAATGCCTTCAGGTGGATGATAAAGACAGGGACCCTGGGAACCTGCAGCTCCTGAGGGAACACCCTTTGTGACCCTCATAGCAGTGAAGGGAGCAGGGGTCTTGGTTTCACTGGGCAGCCATGGGACACCGCAGTTTGGCAGTTTCCAGCTTACTGGATGCTTTCAAACACTCTGATTTGGATCCAGTTTGGACTGAAACCAAATTGAAAGAAAACAAGCAGGATTCCTGGCAAAGTGGAAAGGCTGGGCAGTGGCCAGTGCCTCTCTCCGAGGTCAGTGTGCAGGCTGCTCTTAGAATTAAGCTCACATCAGCCTTCGTGGCACAGACAGAGCAGTGGCAAGGCTTTCAAATAAGATCTTGCTCACGCAAGTCTGTCAAAGGCATTTACTTGGGTGCTGCTTGCTGGGAAATCCTGCCAATCCCCTTTGTACAAACCCCAGAGACCCTGTGGGATCGTGTCTGCAGAACAAACTGTGCTGCTACACCCTCAGCAGAAATGTTCTTGCATACCAGGGAAGGCACTTGCCACGGCTGCCGTGCCAGTGGGAGTAATGCAAGCAGCTGTGTTTCAGTGGTGAAATGGTTCCTGGATCGATAGATCAAAAGCACTTTACAGTGGAGGATAATAGTCAAATCCGTATGCACAAGGACTCATGCCTGCCATGTCCTGTCGTGGTGGTTCAAGTGCATGGCCCCTCTCGTCTCCAGCCAGCTCCTGTTTATCCCCTGCACTCCTGCTGAGCTCTGCTGGCATCCCCAGAAGCCGCGTACGTGCCCAGGCCCTTTCTCCTGTCCCATATTGCATTGATGAGACCTGAGTGCAGCCCTCCTCCCCTCTCTGGACACGCAGCTTCACCCACGGGGCTGTAGCTGCCTGTCTGGCCATGGTGACTCCACTTGGGTGCAGACAGGCTGGAGGGTACTGACACACCGTTACCAAGAGGATGCAAGGAGGGGGGGTGGATTTGGGGGCTCACCTGTGACTCTCTGTCCTTGTACCCCGACTGCAGGTTGGATTATTCAGGAATTGCACTGCTGATCATGGGGAGCTTTGTCCCGTGGCTCTATTACTCGTTCTACTGCTCCCCACAGCCAAGACTCATCTACCTCTCCATCGTTTGTGTCTTGGGCATCTCTGCCATCATCGTTGCTCAGTGGGATCGGTTCGCCACCCCCAAGCACAGGCAGACAAGAGCAGGTAGGAGTTCTCCCTCCTCACCCCAAGTCCTCAGCCCCAGGAGGGAGCTCAGGAGGGCTTCGGGGATGGACTTTGGGAAGATTTTGTGGTGGGATGGCTCTTCCCATTTGGGAAGAACTTTCAGCATCTGCAGAATTCATTCCCCCAGAGCACCACACTGCCCTACAGCAGCCTCTGGCAGGGAGAGGTCTTCCTCCTCTCACTGTCCTGGGGATTTAGATCCTCTGCTGAGCAGGGCCTGAGCTCTGCCTGGCACTCAGCAAGCTTGAGGTTTGGAGCAGACAGCCAGCATTTAAAAATAGCCCTCTAAGTGGTGGCTGGGTGGCCTGGGGCTGTGCCGCGCGAAGCTGCCTTCTCCGGGAAGCGGTTTGGCAGCGTGAACCTGCAGCTCAGGCGGAGGAGGAAGAGGTTCCCTCATCATCTGTCCCCTGCCAGTTACACGCTGGCATGTACCTGCCTTCTTGGAGGCTGCGGGGCGAGGCTGCCTCCAGCCCGCTCCACATGCACACCCCATGTTGCCCCCGCTGCAGCCTCTGCAGATTAAATCTGCCTCACTGAGCACCGCTGAGCGTGGAGAAGCACCTCTGCCCACCATCACCTCCCAGGGGGTCTCCTGCAGCAAAATGTCTATCGCAGCAGCATCTAGCTACCCTATGAGACATGATGCTGAGCTGGAGGCTGGGCAGCACCACTGGTGCGTGACCCACGAGACCCCCTCAGAATAGGGCAGGGGACAGCGTGGGACTGTCAGCCCCACCACTCCCCCACGGCAGCACTGGTGTTGGTGTGCTGGCAGAGGTCCCAGCTGCCGGCTCCTGGAGAGGGCTGCTGTCCTCCCCAGCTGTGAAGCAAGATCCTGCTGCGAGTACAAGCCACAGCCTCTGTGGGCTGGTGTCTCACTGTGATGCCGTTTGCTCTCTGCCAAACTAATTAGATGCCAGAGTGAAAATTTCAGCTCCGCTAATTAGCACCTTCCCATTGAACTTCAAGCAGCTTCACTGAACAAATGACTTTGGCAAAACCTCTCTTCGAAGGGATGGCTGGGGTGGCTGCATTCCTTGTGCTCATGAGGCTTCGGTGCGATCCCAAGGGCTGGCACCTTCCAAAAGGGCTGTTCCCGTAGCCAGGAGCGGGAGCTGCCGCAGCCCTGCGGCTGTACAGAGAACACGTCTGCATGGCGAGCTCTGCCCAGTGAGCACTGGGGATCAGCAGTGGTTTTGATGAGGATGTAGAGTTGTAGATCCCTCATGTTGTGAAGGATAGATGCAGTGGGGGTTGCGTAATCCAGAACTGAGTGAGGAAAAGCTGCTAGTGCCTCAAGGAGCTTCCGTTTGCACAGGATAAGGGTGTAAGGGGAGCTGGTGGGGAGCAGCAGCACCCTGTCCATGCTGCCCTCCCATTTGCTGATCTCTCCTTTCCACCGCAGGCGTCTTTCTGGGGCTGGGGCTGAGTGGCGTGGTGCCCACCATGCACTTCACCATCGCCGAAGGGTTCGTAAAAGCCACCACCGTTGGCCAGATGGGCTGGTTCTTCCTCATGGCCGTGATGTACATCACAGGTGCGGGGCTGTACGCTGCCCGCATACCCGAGCGCTTCTTCCCGGGCAAGTTTGACATCTGGGTGAGTGTGGGGACAAGGTGGTGAGCAGGGTGCTTTCGGGGGGGCAGCTGTGGAGTTGGGGAGGGGGTGATTGAGGGCGGTGAGCTCTGAGATGAGGAGAAGGTGGCTGAGGGTGTCCTGGTGCACTCCAGTGCACATGAGGGCAGCCAGACCTTGAATGGCTGCTGCAAGCAGGCAGGGCAGGCTAAAGTACAGGGTGGAAAATGCTACCTGGGAGCAACGAGGGGGAAAGAGTGGAGCTCAGAGGACAGTCCTGGGGCAGTGCAGAAGCACCAAGGAGGTGTTCCCGGTGTTGCTTTTGTCCTCTTTGGTCTGGTCTAAAGGGCTTTTTGGCTTCCCTGCAGTTTCAGTCACATCAGATCTTTCACGTGCTCGTGGTGGCTGCGGCCTTTGTCCACTTCTACGGGGTGTCGAACCTGCAGGAGTTTCGCTACGGACTCGAAGGGGGGTGCACAGACGACTCTCTCCTCTGAGAGAACCTGATTTTAGTACAAGCTTCCTAAGTGCTTTTTAAACTGTCTTTGCTAAAATCAAAGGAAGACTCAAAATGGTTTGGGGTTGTTGGTTTTGTTTTTTGTTTGTTTTTTTTTAAGAAAAAAAAAAAAGAAACAAAAATTCTTTAGCAAAGTTGTCGACCAAATCCTCACCCCCTTCCCCGCGCACTTCACTGGGGCTGAGGGGAGGTGCTGTGGCCTCACCTCCTCCAGTGTTTTATCTGCACCATGGTCCTCCGACCTTCCCAGGCATGCTGATTTCTGAAAGCAAAGGGTGCGGGTACCCCGCTCCCGGCACAGCTGAGCACCCCCTTCCTGAGCTCACTGCCGGAACGAGCAGAGTCATGCACTACCCGGCCGAGGGCCAGAGATTTTTTGCATATCCCTTGCAGCAGAGCCGCCTTGCTGGGGGCAGCTCTGTGGCCCCCAGTGCTGCTGCCCAGGGCACAGGCACAGATTTATGTAATTTAAGTTTTAATTGTCTTTGTTTGTTTGTTTTCCTTGACAAAGTAATGTAAACATAAATGAGAGAATATTTAATATTTAATACTAAGCTTTAAAAAGACTTGCTGCCACCGCAGTGTACTCGGCTCCCTCGCTGTCTGTGGTAGTAAAGGAAGGACAGTGTTTTAGGGGAATGTAGAGCTGCTGTAGCTGATTGAAATAAAAAGGTCAATAGTTCAGTGTCGTGCTGGTGGTGTCTGTCTCATTTTTTGGGGTGGGTGTAGAGAGGAAGCTGCTCGGGGTCTGGGCTGCTTTGGGGGAGAGGGCTCTGAGCACCCCCTAGGAGCATGTCCCCTCAAAGGCTGAGCAGCAGAAGCAGCTGTGAGGGGCAGTGGGATCCCTCCTGCCATGGCAGTGAGTCCGGACAGCCCCAATGGCTGAACTAAAACACAGGAAACTCTTGGGTGTTGTGGTGATGACAGAGGAGGAAACCCTTCCCTGGCTGAGCAATATGCTGCTGGGCAGTGGGGCCTGCTGACTTCCCTCCTGTGATTGGCATGACAAAGGGCTCTCAGCTGGTCAGAAAAGATGCTGCAGCCTGGCTGGTGTGGGGGGAGAGAAGGATGACAGACATCCTAAATCAGAGGCTTCTCAAAGTATGCAAGAGTGACCATCCAGCACAGACGGTCAAGGGGGATTAGATGGGAAGAGCTGATCTGAGTAAAGCTCAGCTCAGGCAGCCAAAGCCCGTTCCCTTACAGAGGAGCAAGGGAGGAGGGCCTGACAGGGCCACCACAGCCAGTCACTGGTGGCACGTGTCCCAGCTATCCCCAGCAGGTCACTGCTGCAGGGAAGGGTTGTGTGGTGGTCCTTTTTTGAGCTGTTTGGATGTGGCCCAGCTTTGGGGACAGTGAAGGCAGGGCCTGGATGGAGCCCCCAGGGCATGAAGCACCAGGTTCCCCTGCTGCAGATCAACCTACAACAGGTCCTGCACACCCCCGTGTCCCACCCTAGCCAGAGTCTGCACCCAGACAAAGCAGTGGTGGGAAAGGTCACCCAAGTGCTCCAGCCTGCTGCTTAAATAGGGGCAGATGACTCAGCTGAGTCCTCTCCCCTCCCAGCAAACCCCTAAGGACAACTCAGCAGTGCGAGAGCCAGGACAGAGAATGAAATCCTCAAGCTGCATGCAGATTTGAACAACCGCCGAGTGCTCTAATCCTACATAAAGAGTACAGGAAAACATCTAGCGATTAACACACAGATTTGGATACATGGAGGAGGCTCCACAGAGGATGAGAGCTGAGCATAGTTCTCTCTCAAAGACCAGAGACTCACCCACTCTGCGGCTGGGGAGCACTGGCTGAGTGACACAAATCCAGAAAATTGTCTTTCACATTTGCCCAAGGAACCAGGTAAGCAGCAAAGCAAGATGGGCCTTCACGCGCACACAGAGTGCTTTTGTGCTTAGGGTTTTGAAAATGACACACCAGCAGCAACTGTATGAAACACTAAGGTATCAGAGACAAAAGTCCCAGCAGTCCTGGAGCCATTCTAGGACAGGCCATGGTGTGGAAACAGGAAAATGTCACTTTTACAGGATGACAGGACATAGGAGATGGTCAGGATCCCACACATGCATGTATGCTTTGTACAATCCTAATTTATCCATTTGTCAACCATTAGTGTGACCGTTTCAGTGTTATTTTCATCCTCTCCTCCTACTACATGGGTCTGACTTAGTTTCCTGACTGAGTGCAGAGATTGAGCTCCTTCCCAGGCAGAAGAAAAGGGATGAAACGGCTCAGATAATATTACTCAAGTCTTTTTGAATACAGATGTTCTATCAGGAACTGCCAGCAAGCAATAGTATTAACTAACAACAGAAAACGTCACTGGATATGATTTTTTTAACTGATGACAAGAGGGAACATGCCTGCATAACTGGAGTTTAAGAACAAAAACATGGAGCAGATGTTTCAAATCGAGTTTAGGACTGGATCTGAGGTGAAAAGGCAAAAGGCTGCGCTGGCAGCAGGCATGCAGGTGCAATGCTTCACCCTCCAGCCCCACAGGCCTACATGTTTTCTGTTGGGGACTCCTACGCACATCTCACTGCACTTTTCTAGAAGGGGAAGCTGTCTGGGGTGTTCCCCTGCTGCGAAAGCCAGAGCAAGCAGCAGCAGAGGTGAAGAATTAGTTTGCTGCCACCTCTTCCTAAAAGGGGTTCAAAGCCTTGTGGGTTTAGAGGAAGGCAGAGGTATGCTGCAGCCTGTGGATCCACAAAAGGCAGATTCTGCTTTAGCCAAAGAACTTAGGCTGCACTTAGGCAGTAGCATAGAAAACAAAGAACAGCAGTGAAATATATGTTTTGCTGGAAGTAATTTTCACTGGCTTGCACATTCTCCCAGTAATATTCACTTTAGGAGTGGAAAACTGTGTGGAGATGAACTCTTTTCTTTAAGCTGAAATATGTGTAGCAACCTAAGTCCGATGGGGAAGAGGCTAAATTCCAGCTGCGTTCACTGTGGATGGTCAATGCCACATCCCAGGGAAGACTCCAAAGACTTTCACTTCAGTCCATGTCCAAAGGACGACAAGACTCCATTTGGTCCTTGTCTGAATTCTCCATGTATTCTGTCAGACATGTATTAACATTACAGCAATGGAATCTATCATGAATAAATAGATCTGTCATCTTCTAAAAGTTCTCCTGTGCAGTTTTACACTGGCAAGTGCTGAAGGTCCTCTTGGCATGGTTTGTGTAAGAGACTACCACTGGTGTAAAGACATACCGCATCTTGGTCCTCCAGCATTTTAAATTACAGCTCAGGTACAACGTGAACTAGGAGAATGAGGATAATCACTGGTATTGTCTGTAGTCACCAAACGGAGAGGGCTGCAACTGGGAGGGGTCATCTGAAAACTGAGGGCCTGTGAACAAGGCAAGAGAAAAAAGGCAAATAATAAATACTAAAAGACAAGAGATTCTTGTCACTAACAGCACAAAACACATTCACAGCGTTTTTGTTTGTATAAATCCCTCTTAAAATTAAGCCAATAACAAGACTTTACATTTGATTTTTTTTCATTCAAAAAAAGTTCAAGAGCTTTACACATTGACAAGAGCCTCAGCCCAATAAGGACCATATTTTTATCTCTTTTACTAACAGGGAAATGAATCAGAGCAGTGAGAGGGAAGGAAATATTTTCAGTCACCTAAAGGAGCTGGAAACCTATGCCTTATTGCCCTTCAGTTGAACTCAGCCACTCTGTAAAGGTTTACCCACAGTAACTTGCCCGACAATAAAGCAAGCCAGTGAAATGGAACAAGTCATTGTGGAGTCAGCTTCCCAACTACTCTTACTGACGTTCTGCTGGAGGGAAGCAATACATTTACTGTATGCCAATTCTAGAGAGAATAAACTGTAACAGACAGATGATACCCTTTCTCTAAAGCAGATTAATTTTAAAATGTCTTTGGATTAAGAACAGAAATTGTTATAATTTAGATTGAACAAAGAACATCCGTGAACAAACCTGAGAGAGGAAGCCCCTCAGGAATTAGTGGCTTGCTACTAATCCTTTCAACACTTGTGCTCTTGTCTGTAGTCCACCCAAAATAAGGTGGGGAGATAGAGGTATTTTTGCACAGGCAGGTATTTACACAAGTGGTTACCGAGTCGGCTAACTGACACCTCAGCTTGTGTTTTACTTAGAAAAAAAACAAAGGGATATAGTTTTTGAAGCAGTTTAGAAAAATCACACCACCACCACCCCTCTTGGAAATCTTTTATCTGTATCTGCCTGCTGATCTTTATCACCTCATTTAAACCAGGGTTACCCACACATTTGCACACAAACCATAGCTAGCCTGCCAGCATCATCCCTCTTGCCCAAAACTTGCTGCTTGCTGTTCCCCCAAACCGGTTGTGTCACCCACCACTGACTCCAATACTGCTGCCACCACCTGACAGGTTGTGTGGCTGCATCAGGGGACCAGGCAGAAGACAGGGACATCCCTGCTTTCAGCCATGCAGTCTCCAGTCACCCAGTGGGAAGGAGCTGATGATGCTCTTGTGTCAGCAGCAACGTGCGGCTCCCCCCTGACTTTCTGCAGCCTTACAAGCTGGCAACTGGCAGAGCAGATTTACTCTGTGATAAGACCGATGACTGGAAGAGGTACATTAGTAAAGACTGCACTATAAAAGCCTTGCAATACCATAGTCTGATGGCTCCTTACCGTTTGAAAACTGTGTGGAGGCAAATCTTGTTAACAGAATACCAGCTCCTTCAATTAAAGCTAGGAGAATTCCTCCCATCGCAGCAGATCCGACCATGGCAACAGGTCCGTCTAAAAATAAAAAGCACAAAACAACACTTTTTACTTCTGTGATGCATTACTTTGCATATTATAGCTCTCTTCCTTTAGTTATAATCTCTCCTATAAGCAGACTCAGAAGCAGTAATTTTGCATCCATTAAGCCTCATTAGCATCACCAATAAAAGGATAATTACTGGGCAACTCCCCCCCCCTCTTCCTCAAGGAAACAAAGGAACACCGGTAATGTCTGAGAACATAATTATTACTTTCATAAGCACAGGACAAAAGTTTCAGATTATCTTTCAATTTCTCCAAGAAAGTAAATTCCAGTTTG